GGGAAAGTGGCAGAGTTGGAGGGGGAAGAAACCCTACGTCTTATACAGCAGCAGCTAAAAAGAGATCAGCAGTTCTGGATGGAACTAATAATTCCAAAGTCTGGATCTCTCAGAAGATCAAAAGACCTGTTCTCATTATTTCCCCCTCCTCCTCTAATTCGTAGTGTGCCTCCCACCTATTGCAGGGAAAGCAAGCGGAGGGAAGCGGAGAAATGGTGACATGCAAGCCAACCGACAACACTGCCACGTCCAAGGTATTTTTGTCTCCATCCTTCAGTTATTTCATTTCTGTCAAACTCCTTCACTCCAGCTTGCTTTCCAGACTGCATCCCAATTACAACTGGTCCCCACAACAAGTCAAAGCCTGGTTTCCGGAGGAAATGTTACCCACACCTCATTTCAAAGACAAAGCCAACGGACAATTTGGAGACTGTCCTGGGAGCCTCAGAAAATGAAGACCTTTCTCCAGCAGCCGCAGGGCAAGTTACAGCCACTATCGGCTTCGCTGTCTGCATCTGTACCCAGGTACACAGAAGATGCGGAGGCTTTCTGCATGATGTGATCATAGGATATAATTACAGACTTTGTCCTTGTTAGCGCCACCCTCTGCCCTAATCAAGGCCCTCTGACTCAGGATCCATTAGCTTACATCAAACCTGAAATTCTTGCCAAGATTACAGTCTACTATCCTGCAAGGTGCTGTATACTTACAGGCAACCAGAGCAGGAGAGAAGTTTATGCCAAGATGGGAGATGTGAGAACTAAAGCTTTCAGTAATCCTCACCAAAACCCTCCAAAATAAATAGCCAATTCACAATGGGAAATTCGCCAAAATAAAGCACATAACCTCTGACCCAGAGCCAAAGTCCTTTGAGGCTACAGTGAAACGCTCTGCAGCAAATCATGGATGAATATCTACAAGTTCATTATAATGAGCTTTCAACATCTCAGTGGCTGCAAACACATTTGATTGTCCTACTTCAGACCTTGTACATTTCTGCATGAAACATGTGATCCCCTCCTGAGAAGACCCACATCGTGGCGGGGCGGGGGTTGGGGGGAATCTCCTGCTCCCCATCAAGGGCACGAGTTCCCCAATCAGATATCCCATTTCCTCCCCTCATCTGCTGACCTTAAAAAAACGCCAACAAGTGTGGGGTATCTCACAAAACATGAGGGAGACTTTGCATGTGTCCACAGAGTAACTCAGCCTGGGGATGGAAGAGTGAGAGCTGGTAAGCTTACGGCACAGTGAACCTGTGAGGACAATCAGAGCAGCCAACTCCCTGAGGAAAAGAGAATCCTCTTGTCATTACATCTATTAGATGAGCAAGAAAGAAATAGTGGCATCATATAAAATGTAATATCACATTTTAAACCCAATTAGCATTTGCAAAAAGGTTACGGTATCCACTGCAGAAAAGAGTGCCATAAGAAAATAAAATTATCTCCCTATGCAGATGTAGCTTCCAAGAAAAATGAAACACATTCAGAGTGGGCTGTAACTTATCACCATGTTTCATGCCAAATCTGGGTTATCTTGGGCATTTCTTTCCATAGGAACTAGACTTTCCCTACTAAATAATTGGAAAAGATTGACCCTCCCGCCCACCCAAGCCAGAGGGTCCTACAAGTATAAATTAGATAATTCCTTTCCCTGAACTCATCTTTTCAGGCCAATTTGTTAAAGACCAGTATTATGCAGTATGAAGAAAAGCTAACATAGCACACAGAAGTGCTCATTTCCTCCTAGCTCCACAGTGACTTTCTACAGCCCATAAAAGATGTATAAGCCTCAAAGACGCAGCACACAGATAATCAAAGTCCGCAAGCATGTTACATGTTCATATGTCAGTTCAAAGCAGGCGGTCTTAACCCATGTCCTGAACAATCTTCCTTTTTTTTTTTTTTTCAAATATCCAGCCCTTAACACACAGTAGAGAAGTACTCCCCAGACTTTAATGTCCATACTAACCACCTGGGATCTTATTAAAATGCAGATTATGATTCAGTAAAATCTGAAGTGGGGCTCTGAAATTTTAACAGGCCCCCAGGTGATGGGGATGTTGCTCTTTGCTCTCTTTGAGAGGCAAAAACCTAGAAGACTTAGTTGACCTAGAACTAAGACCCCTCCCTTCAGGCATACTGAAATTTCTGAAGGACCCCGTTAAAATAAAAGCTAGTGTTTACTGGGGAATTAGGCAATGTTTTAGGAACCCAACGTATTTTAGGTCATTTAATTCTCCCACTAACTCATGACTATCACCCTCATTTTACCGGTAAGGAAACTGAGTCGCAAAGTAAGGAAGTAACTTTTCAAGGTCACAGAGCTGGGGAAGAAACTGGGATGTGAACTCAGCCAGGTTCCCAAGTTTCCTGGTAACCACTGCTCACACCGAAGAAAAAGGGAGAGATTTCCAGAAGCTGGATATCTAGGTAGGACGGAAAGTGAGTCTAGGATCTCAGATGCAGTATTGGGGAGAAAACGCAGAACCCACAGAAACGCAATGTTTCCACATGGTCACCACCAGAGGCAACATATATTCGTCAGTCAGTCACGTTGCACAGCGAAGAGGAAAAAAAGCAAACATGGTGTATTTTAAATTTTCCAATCGGGCTCCTCTACACACCTTAGCAGATGTTCTCTGAACACTGTTACAACAGCCTACGTGCTGTAGAACGGCTGTGAAACTTCCAGCTACGGGGACAGAAGAGACCCCCGGGACCCGGTTCTGAGCCCAGGCACCGAGCATGTTGCTGAAGTCAACTCCCTATTCTCTCTTTCGGCTCTCTTTGGTCCATGCGGACCAAAGACAAGGAAAGGGCGGGGTAAAAACCACTGTCGCACCTTGCGCTCGCAACGCCTGGTAGAAAGGCGGCGTCTTTGCAGCGGAAGCGAAATCGTGAAAAGCGCCCGACCGCGTGGTCCCCCGGTCTCTGAACCGCGCTTGATTTTCCAGCCCCGGAGCCTGGGCCCGGCCGAAAGTGCCCGAAGTGCCGAACCCGCGGATCGCGGAGCCGCGGACGCCTGGGGAGTTTCGCTGGCGCTGTCCTAGGTGCCAGCGATGGCTGCTGGCACACTTTGCCACCCGCGGCGTGGCTGGGCGGCTTTGTCTACCGCAATGAAACCAGAGGGCGCCTGAGTAAGCATGCCCCTAAGAGAGGGGCACAGTAAGGCAGCTCCTGGAAGGTGGGAATTTTAGAGAATTGTACAAGGCGGCTGGGGGAGGGGGCCCCGCTGGAGAAATTGGCAGAGCTCTGAGCAGAGGACTGTTCGCAGCCCAGCCGCAGCGTGCAACATAATGAGATCTGTCCGCTTTGTGCAGCACACCGGCAGGCGGGACTGCGGGGACCGGACCCTTCCTCTTCCCCAGTACCCCCACCCTAGACGCGTTTAACTCCGGCGGGCACGGAGTGACCCCAAATCACTCTGTGGGGGCGGGAGGAGGAGGGGAGTGCAGAGAGGAGGAGAGAGGAAGCCCAGCCAGGGGTGGTTGTGGGAGGATTTGAGCAGCAGCAGGAAGAATATCTGCTTAGAGATGCTCCTTCGTTTCTAATGAGGGGTGCTGCCTAGAAGCACCACGCGCCAGCCAATGGCAGTGCTGCTGAGGCAGGGAACTAGGGAGGAAGGAGGGGAAGGCCAGAGACTGGGGTGGGGGTAGTAGGGAGATGCCCAGGCCCTGGGGGAAGCGAGCCACGTGCCTCGCTGATACTAGAGACCCAATGCAGCTCCAGCTGCCTCGCTGCTGCACACCTGGAGGGTGGGGGTGGGGAAAGAGGAGGATGGAGAAGAAGAGGAGGGGCCTCCTTTGCAGGTGCATCCTTCCCGAGAAATGTCTTTCCATAAGCATCAAAGTCCCATGTCTCCAAACCTACCCCCATATTTAACACCACCCCCCTGGCTTGCTTCCTACCAAGCACCCTCCCCGCACCCACCAACCCACAATTCCTAAAGACCTTGCCAGATGCCCAAATCCTTAGTGAAGAACAAGGCAGCGAGATGCCTAATCAGCAGCCTGCATTTGGTGCACTTGATTGAGCCTGCAAAGGCTCCTTGGATGCCTGTTCACCCTGACACTGCCACCTTCAGAGCCACCCCCACCAGCTCTTTGTGGAGAGCAGTTCCTTTGGAAGTAGGGAGAGACAGATTGCTTGCACACCCCTGGGCTCTGCTGGTGCAGCCCTCAGCTGAAGAATTCAGGCCCAGCCGATCAACCTGAATCTTGGGCGCTCAGCTGGGTCAAGCATTCAGAGGCGAGGGGCACCCAACCCCAGACTAAGAAAACGATGAGCTCTGATGAGCTGTTCTTCTCCGGCTGAGAAGAGAACTCCAACTCTGAGCCGTCTGGGCTGTATCATTAGAGATTGCCTCCGCTGACACATTCATTCACTCCACTCTCGGTGGAACTTAAACTCAGTCCCCAGAGTTAGCTGGGTCCCCAGCCAAATGGCTGCTTTATTTATCCATTGGTCTATTTGTCTACAGGGTTTTGGCCCAGACTCTTGAAGCTTCTGAAATGATAAATCCCCCAGGGGGCCTTGACTTCCCCACGGGCAGAGTGAGGATGTCTCCCCAGCTGGTGGGGATGGGGACAGAAGGGGTGGCTTTGAGGGAGGAAAAGGGGGAGTGAGTATGAAAGAAAACCGTAAGATTAGGGGCAGCCCATTCTATGTGAAGGGCCTTGGGGGCCTGGGAATCAGACAAAGCCCAGCCCAGAAAGGGGCAGACACAGCAACACCACGCACTCAGGGACGCTACAGAGCTCCACATAGGAAAAATCAAAAACCAAAAGTCTTACCTTGAAAAGCACTAGTGCACACACTGGCCTCTACAGCACCAAGCTTGCCCCTTAGGCACACCAGAGTAAAGAGTGCATTTCAGCAAAGGGGCAAACTGGCACCGAGAAGGAGATGGGGCATAAATCCCATGCTAAATTTCCCCCCTTACCCAAAGAAATGCAAAGGGGGAGAGGGGAGTTATGGTGGGCAAGAAAGGATATGGCCAATCGATGAGCTTCTTGGCGTATTTCCTGACAATGTTATCTTCTCCGAAGATGAAGAGGGATCTGTTGACGGTGAAACAGTTCTGCCGGACAGGAATGGGGTTGTACAAAGCCATAGTCCGCGCCCTCTGCGCTTTCGACTGCTTGTAGGCGGCCGCCGGCCCCGAGGCCGGCACCGGGGTTCCTTGCCGGTTCCTGCTCTGGTCCGAGTCTCCATCGCCCGACCCCGGCCTGCCGACCACCGCCTCCCCGAAGCGAGCCATCCTGAAGTTTAAACAGACAGAAGACACACAAAGGTGATCGCGGCCGAACACCCGCACACAGCAACAAGCAGAAAGACACACGGAGACTCAGAGCCGCATCCAGACGAGCGCGGGGACCACCGCCTCCGGGGAGCCTCGCGAGCTCTTGGAAGAGGCGGCAGCAGCAGCCCCGCCGCTCCGAACTGTTGAATCTAAATACAACCTCTGCGAAGCTCCATTCCTCAAGCAGGAGAAAAACGGGGGGAGGGCTTGGGGGTGCTCAGTTTCTGAAGGCAATTTTTTTTTCTCAAAATGCCAGTGTGTGGTGGCATTCGGGGACTGAAGAGGAGAGGGGTGGAGTAGGCTGCTCCTCAAACATAGCTCATCTTCTGGCAGACGCACCACCTAGTTCTGGAAGAGAGGCAGGCACCGGCCCGCTAGGTAACAGTTTGGTGATTTATTGGGGGGTGGGGGGTGGGGAGGAAGGGAAAAATGAAAACAAAAGAACTTTAAATTAAAAAAAAAAAAAAAAAAAAAAAGGACGGGGTTACGGTGACATGCTTTGTAACGCCAGCCCCAGCAAGTCCATCTAAGAAATTCCACAGCCGAGACTTGGGTCTTTAAATCTGCCAGCACAGACGCATCCAAAGGTTGACAGAGAGGGAGGGGGGAGAGCGGTATTGAGGTTCCTGCGCAAACCGCAACGCCCAAAATATCAAAATAAGAAGTCAATCCAGCCGGAGAGGGACAAACGACTTCAAAGCTCCTGCGCTTGGGAAAGAAGTTGAGCAGGATCCAGAGAGCAGCGAAGCCCGAGTGCCAGCATCCTGCCGGAGCGCTCGCCGCCGCCACCGCCACCGCCTCCCCGGATCAGCATGCAACAGCGATCCGCGGCTGCGCCGGGGCGAGGGCGGGAGCGGGAGCGGGAGCGGGAGCGGGCGGGCGGGCAAGCGCCTGGGCGAGCGCTGGGGCGAGGGAGGAACAGGTTGCAGGCGAGCCCAGCGGTGGCCTGGCACGGGAGTTGACCAAGGACCGAACTTCCTCCGGAACGGCTCGGTTTCTTCTGCCACCCGGACAGCCCCACTCCGGGGGAAGCAGAGGAGAACGTGGGGAAGGAAAGGGGAAGGCGAGGAGGGGAGAGCGAGCGGAGCGCAGAGGCGCTGCGAGGCGCGCGCCGGAGCGCCGGGAGAAGCGGGGGCGGGGCCGGCGGGGACAGGAGGGGCGGGGATGGAGCCGGAAGGACCCCGGCCGACGGCGGCTGCAGGCGCCTGGCGAGCGAGGCTGGTTTGGCTTATAGATTTATTTAGCCAGAGGGCAGGGGGCCGCCGCTGCAGAGTGTCCCCAAGTAACGCCGAGAGAAGAGAGGCGGGCGCAGCTGGCGGCGCGGCACAGTCCCCACAAGAGAGCCGAGCCCAGGCCCGGCGGGGGCGCACACGCGCGCGCGCACGCACTCGCGCCTGCCGTCCCCGCCGAGGCGACAGCCGGTGCTGTGCCCCGCACAGTGCCTGCCCCGGAGAGTAGTCGAAGCCTCTGCGCCCTGCGCGCCGCGCACCGGGGCCGCGTCGCTGCTCCTCCTCACCTCCCAGTCTCCGAGGAACGCTGCCCAGGGATTTCCGCGGAGAAGGCAGCACCCTCTCCCCACCTCCCCCACTTAGCAACCCGCAGGCCCCGCGAGGCACGCTAGGACCTCTGGGGGCTCCGCACTCTGGTGTGGGTGCCAGCTCCGCGTGGGAGCTTCTGCCCTCCCCCTGCAAATGCGATCTGGGGCGGCCTCTTGGGCTCGGCTCTCGTGGAGCCCTGCGCATCCATTTCTGGAAGAGTGATCCAGATACTGGGGCCCTAGATGGTGAGTTTGGGGCTATAACGACCTTTCCCCAAGTGTTAGCAATCGGGGGGAATCCTCCCACCCCTATCTTTTACCCACAAATCCGCTCCACTGACTTCCTGAAACCCACTCCATTAATGAAGAAAGAAAAACCAATTAGTATCTGAGCTGAGTAAATGGGAAAGGTGGACTCCGAGACCCGGAGAAAGAGTCCTTAGGTTTGGTGACAAAGCCCTTCTCCACAGGTGACTAGTGGTTTGAACTGAGCACAGGGCCAGCCACCCGCTCCATGTCTACACTTTCCTCCTTTTTCCAGTCCTAGGCTCAATACACAGCTCTATCCAGCTCCTCCCCACCTGAGCAATGTTAGAGAAGGGGAAGGGGGCAGCCGAGGAAGGAAACAAAGAGTCTGACCAAAACCCGGAGGCTGGAAACCATGGGTGAGTGTGGATTCACGTGTGTGAAAGGCAGTGTCTGTGTGTGTGTGAGATTAACTGATGGGAAGGGTGATGACATCTGAGTGAGAGGCATGTGTGTTCCTATGTATATGTGCCTATGTGTGGGCAAGGCCACGTGAGCACTGACACAGGTCTGTGTGAGTGTACATGTGAAGGGAAATCCTCTGGGTCCTGGAAATTCCAAATGAATGGTGGTGTCCGTGCTGCCCTTGGGGCGGCATGTTGACCTCTAGATTCAGGGCAGCCCATTTCAGGCCAGTGGACTATGCAAGGTATGTCCACTCTAATTAGGATTTTGATTACACATTACTGCCTTACTCTGTCATTCTACCTCCCTTAACTGGAGGGACCTTTTCTGTCTGGATACCTCATCAGAAATGAAAGGGGAGGCAGTACTGTGACCCACGGGGCCCCATCAGCCTGTGTAGTCTTTTGCAAGGGTCACAAGTGGCTGTCTCACTAAGCCTGTGAACTGCAGATTAGAAAGGGCTTGCAGAAGTGATCAAACCCATGCTTTCATGCAGGATCATAATCCGGAGCACAAAATTCACTCACATCCATTATCTGACAAATATTTTTGAGCACCAGGCACTGTTGGCACTGAGGATGCCAATTGAACAAAATAAAGGACCAAAAAAATGTGTCTTCTTCTTCGATTAAATTAGATTCTATAACCTTACTGGCCAGAATGCCTGATAGACCCCATTCTCACAGGACAACTTCACCTCTTTTTCTGGGTCCCGGCCATAGCAGGCATCAGAGTGGTATGCCTGTTTGTTCCTGCTCAGAGGAAGTGGGGCTCTCTAAGCTTTGTTGAACCTCCTGGAAGAGGTTCTTGGAAGATCTGGAACCTCCAGATCTGAGTCTTCAATGCCACCCACTCAGCAGAGGGGCAGTACTAAGTCCCTTCCCTCTCTCTACAGTGTCCTGTGTTCTGTGTGGCTGTTGTAATTCTTTAGAGACCTAGGTTTTCCCAAGACAGACTGTTACACTTGGAAATGTGAAGACCCAGTGGAGTTGAGGCTTGCCCCCTGAGGAGACAGGAATCACTAAAGCACGGGTTGGGAATAATAGAGAGCATGCTGGAGAGTGTAAGTACCTCTGTAGGGAAGTTATAAATGGGGAATTTGTAAGGGGAGGCGGGGAGAAGCCAAAGAGGAAAGAGGCTAACATGATGGCATGAAAGTCTTTGGGAATTGACTTGATCTAAGGACAGTAATGGTGGGATGGAGGCATCCTCTCATATTCTCCCACCACCATCATCTCTAACACCATCCCCCACCCCACACGCACAGCTCTTCAGAACTTGGAGATCTAAGAACGTCTCTCATGCTTTCTAATGCTCCCATTCTCCCAGCCCCCAAAGGGCTAGAATTTAAAGACTGAAAAATATTTCCTTTGTGTTCAATAGTTTTCGGTTTGCAAAAACCTCACAACAAATCTCTGAGATCAGTCTGGCAACCCAGGTGTGATGACTCTGATTTGATGGGCAAATTAGCAGAGCTTCAGAAACCTTAAGTAATTTTCCCTAGGCTTCTAAGAGATCTTCGGACTGCCACTATATGTTTCTTTCTAATAACCAGTCCAATCTCTGGTGGATGGTAACAGTGTAATTCCAAATTGTTCATTGTCAAGAGAAGAAACTATACAATCATGCAAAACCTATGAGAATCCTATGCTTACTGTCCTCAAATTGAATTTGATCAGTAGCCACATGCCCCTGGGGCCATGCTGGGAAGAAGCTAAGCTAGGAACACAATGTACTGCTCTCAAGATCCAGGAGGATCCTTGGAAAAAACCGGAGGTCAGGTCATTGCCATAATGCTCTTCATGAGGGAACTTGGTGGGCATTCTCCTAATAAGTGTCCCTCCTTCCAATGTCTTCTTAAAGACCCACATATGGAAATGCAGAAAATCAGCATTATGGTCATAACTCTGATTGGAAACTAGTTTCCTAAAATCCCTTTCCAGCCCAGGAGGGACCGTAGCCGTATTTCCCTGTTGTCAGAGCACCATCTACTGGTCACTTGTGAACACGTCGCCGTGAGCCCAGTACCTGGCAGCCCAGCACACTTCACAACCTAGACATGCTTAAAGAGGTGACTTCTTGTCACCAGCTCTCTACTCCCTTGTGGGACTCTGTTGAAGTCCAGGCCCAAAATTTCACCACATTGCAACTGTCCCATCTCACAGTACTTGGAAAGTACACCCACACACACTGGGCACAAGGTCAACACGCTGCATGCGCACGCACACACACACATATTCACGCACAGTTAACATGGTGCAACCAGATGGTTTTCTGTGTGCATGCTTTTCTGCAAGCAGTGGCCTGCAAACTGGAAACCCAAAAGGATCTGAGGAAGCAAGTGAAAAACTTTCCTAGATTAATCCCATCCAGATGGTTTAATTTCAAAGCGTTCACCCTGCAACCCCTCACCTCCAGTGTCCCATCCAAAATGCAGGCAGGAGGAAGGGCGACTGGTATGCTCCAGTCTCCTCTGGAAAGGGAATGAAACCAGTTGGCTGAAACCCCCCTCCCCACCCCCACCCTCGGCCCCAGACCAGGAGCCACAGGAGTTTATACTAAGCTGGACAGACATGAGCAGCATGAGTGGAGAAGTACTTATCCTATTACCCTCATTCATAAAGCTCTTCCCAGATCTGTCAGGCCTTGGGCCATCTCTGCATATGACATTTCAGCCCGTCTGCAAATCTGGCCTCATCCAAAAAGCATGCGCCCCTCCCACCAGCCTGCCTTCCTCATCCTCCCTCCCCCACTGCCAGTTACACTCCTATAGCTTATGGTTAAGCTATCAGAGCCCCTTTTGTTCTATTTTCCCCCTGTTGAGCTTTTCCAAGAAATAGACTCTTATGCAAAGCAACTCTAAGGAACAGAATGCAGAGAGGGTTTGGGAGTGGGTTCTTAAGAAAAAAGTTGGCAGGAGACCATGTGCAAATTCACT